ATGAGCCTGGAAGTTTCCAACTGACGAATTTTCAGTCGTTGTTGTCAAAATTCTAGCTCTAAATATTGAGCTGATACTTTCTCATCATATGATGAAAGCCTTGGATTTTGCTCATGGAAAGTTAGTCAAGTATTAAAAGTTGAGTTTAGTCTAAACTAAAGATTTTTCACCTTGAAATTTCGAGCGTACTTTTTTGAACTACTTTTAATCGAGTCTCATAAAGTCCTAATAGCTAGTAGTGTTCAATTTATACTTTCATTACAAAATGTTAGACATGATTCCGTTCTGTTGTCAAGATCTTTTCAAATAGTAGCAGCACGCAATTGTGAAAATATTTAAGTATTTAGAAACCTTAAAATAAGGCAGTCAATATAAAAATCTTACTATCGGCAATACTCAGCTACTGATCAAGCTTAATCAAAACTTGGATTTTTTTACTTGTAATAGAAGATTAGTAAGTTTTGACTTGTAGAGATCAAGTTCGTGAACAGTGTAGAAACGTAATACTTTCAACTACAGTTTAACTTAATCTTTACAAATTAAAATTTACTAATCTCCTATTTCAAACAGAAAAAGAAAGGTTTCGATTAAACGTGACCAATAGGCGAGTTGTTTATATCTATTAAATGGTTATGACTTTTGAAACACCTTGTGTATGTATGTTTTTTTCTTTTTACTTTGATATCATCTAATGATGAATCTATGATTTCATAATTATCTGGTAAACAAAAAAATTGTAGCGAATGAAGATTTATAAAAACATGATGTTCAACTTCAACACTATGTGTATAAGCACAAGATTTTTGTCCACGACCTTCAAAAAAAAAAAAGAAACAAAATATATATGTTTAGATCTTCGAAATAATAAATAATTAACCTTGAAAATATTTGCCACAAACTAAACAAGCATAGACATTATTATTTGATAGTGTGATTGAACAAAGTTTTTCAAAATCAAAATCGAGTAAACTCCTAAAAAAGAAATAATATTAATTAAGAGATTTTTTTTATAATAGAATTAGATCTAATTGTTGAAAGTCTTATGAAATTTTTAAAGATACTCATTGGAGTTCGATTATTGGATTTGGTCAAATGTCTGCTAAATTCTAATCGTTCGTTCCATTAGTGATTTTTTGTTATTCGGATAACGTAGAATACGATGGGGAGAATAGCAAAAGCCTAGAAGAGTTTATTCTCATGTACTGCTCAATAGGAATCATTACCGTTTTACTTATTTTTGTGCCTATGATAAAGTATTTACGAAAAACTCGAATTCTAGTATTTCGATCTGAAATTTCGCCGATAGATAAGTTCCATGATCATTAAAATGCTCTAAAAGTTTCAGCTAAAAAGATTGTATTCTTCCAGAGATATCGAACGTTGAAGATCATCAGTTTCTCGATCTTCCTATGTGCTATATGATCTTTTTTCGGATACTAATTATGTGAAGAACACATTTTTTTTGTACTAAAACTTTTTGAGCCATTCTAATGACTACAAGACCTGTCTATAGGCAAAATTTCAGTTAAAAATACTATCACCCAAGTTTTATGAATATCATACCTGGTGGGAAAACAGCAGGGACTTCATGCTTGAAGTATGTTGTTTTCCGTTTGAACTTACTAGAGTTAAAAGGTTTTAGTAAAACAGTAATAACTCCAGAAGGGCCGTTCTTAACTTTAATCAGTCTTATCGGATTCTACTCATGAATAAAATTATCAAGTTGATCGGTCATCTCTCCTCGTCAACTTATGAGAACTGATTCTGTAGGTATTTTAAGGAGTTTGATATTAAAAATAAATCTTAATAGAGTTTCTTATCGATTTTCATATTGTTGAAATCAGTTCGAAAATCAACAATTTTAACTCTCATTATTATTTCAACATTTTCTTTTAAAATCATACCGATTAATCGTATCTAAATACGGACAATTACGACTACGATTATCAATAGTCGTCGATTCTGATTTGACACTTGTATGTATTAATTCTCGTAGAGTTGTACCAACAATAGGTACACCTATAAGCAAAAGAAAACAAATCATTAGTCAATCATACATCATATTCACAGAATAAATCAAAATAAGTATTAAAAAAAAGTAAAACAAACCTTTTTTCTTTTTTGCTACTGGTTGATATCCAGCATTAGACGTTGTTGGATTTGAATCATAAGGTCGTTTAATACCTTGAATTTGTTTAATATCGTCATTCATCTTAAAATAAAAACATTCTTTTTTTAAAATACATATAAATATATTGGTTTTTTTTGCTAATTAAATTTTGTTTATTGTTGTCTCGAGAATAAAAGAACAACACGGGAAACAAAAAAAATAACACTTGAATAATAAAAAAAAAAAAATTTTTTAATGCGAGTTTTCCTATGATTAAATATTCGATGTTTATAAATATAATCCTTCTGGTGTGCCTTGATTTTTTCGATAAAGTACTGTTTCTTTACTCTTGCGAAAATCTTCATTTGTAACTTTCATTCGACGTTCACGTAATGCCATTAAACCTGATTCAGTACAAATTGCCTAAAGAAAAATAAAATATAAATAGTTCTTTTTGTTTTTATTATTATTAATTAAAATAAACAAACTTTTATATCAGCACCACTAAGATCATCTTTAGCCATAATTAATTCTTCTAAATTAACATCATCAGCAAGTGTCATACGACCTGTATGAATTTTAAATATCATTCGACGTGTTTTTTCATCTGGTAATGGAAATTCAATTTTTCTATCAATACGACCAGGACGAATTAATGCTGGATCAAGACTATCAATACGATTTGTTGCCATAATAACCTAAATAATTTTAATTATGAATAATAAAAATCTTTTTTGTTTTTTCTAATATTTTACTTTAACATCCCCACGTGAATCAAATCCATCAAGTTGATTGAGTAATTCTAGCATAGTACGTTGAATTTCTCTTTCACCACCAGAATTTGATTCATAACTAAATTATGACATACAAAAAAAAAAACAAATTTTTATCATATCAAAGAAAACAAAAAAGTAATCGATTCTTACCGTTTTGTTCCAATAGCATCAATTTCATCAATAAAAACAATAGCTGGTGCATATTCTTCAGCAACACGAAATAATTCACGAACTAGTTTTGGTCCATCACCCTAAAAATAAAAATTTGCTTTAAATAGAAATATTTCTATTTAAATTAATTACTAAATATTTTTGAATTAATTCTGAACCGACAACACGTAAAAATGTTGCTGATGTTTGATTAGCGACAGCTTTAGCTAATAAAGTTTTTCCTAAAAAATAATATATATATATATATATATATATATATTTGAGACAATAAATCTTATGATCATTCACCTGTACCGGGTTGACCATAAAGTATAACACCTTTAGGTGGTTTTATACCCATTTCTTCATAATATTCAGGATGTGTTAATGGTAATTCAACAGCTTCCTAAAATAGAGATATATTTGAAATCTTCTTCTTTTTGTTACAAAAATTTTCTTATTTTTTTTTTGCTATGATAATCAAATTTAGTCCAATAACTTTTCATCATATTATTCATACTTTAATTTCTTGAATTTGTGTTGTCAATCCACCTATATCAGCATATGTTTCTTTTGGTGCTTTTTCAAGTTTCATAACTGCAACCATAGGATCGACATCATCACCTAATACACCAATAACAGCATGAACCTAAAACATTCATTATTATTATTATTAACCTCTAGCGCAGAAAAAATCTTGGCACAAAAAAATATTCATCAATTTTTCTAGCCACTTAAAGGCAGTTGCTTAGAATCAGAAGCAACTAGAATCCGATTTTCTTTCTGGAGTAAGATTGAACAGCTATCAGACAATTTTGTAAAAAGAAAACTTCAAAATTTTAACGCAATCCTCAATCACTGTTTCAAAACCTACTTTTAGAAATACACAATTCGGCCATACCTCAGAAAGAAATCCTTAACACCTATTCGGCAAGAGCGAAAAAATCTTTTAGTGACCGAAAAATGAGTGCGTATATACATTGTGTCAAAACTTTTGCGTCATAGATAAAATAATTCAATCGATAAATTACTTTATGATTCAATAAGACTGTACATCCTGGTTCAAGTTGATCTTTATCAACAAATGACATAATTGTAACATAATGTTCTGAACCAACTGATGTTGATACAATAGCATGATTATCATCGATAATTTCTTCTAATGTTCCAACAGCCATTGGTGATCCTCTAAAACAAAAATTTGCCTTTTATAAAAATACAAAAAAAAAAAAAAAAATTTATTTTCATACCGAATATCATCAACTTTAGAACGTTCTTCCTATAAAAAAAAGATTAAATTAGACAAAAAAAAAAAAAAAAATTATAAATTTTATACTTCATGACGATCTTCTTGTGGTTTTAAACGTTCTTGATTTTTAATAAATTCTTCTTCAAGTAATAAATAATCTTTTATACGTTCAAATCGAAGTTGTTTTAAACGACAACGTGTATATGGTAATACTTGAGGTAATTTATTAGCTGCTTCAGGGCCTTTTGTACGTTTTTTTCTTTTACCTATTCGAGTTGGAATTGGTGGTTCATATTTTTTTTTCTATAATAAATATATATATATATTTGAATTCCATTAGACTAAAATTTCTTTCTCATTCTTACTTCTTTATCTCCAGCTCCATCACCTCGTCGTTGACCACTTGAACCTTGATTTCCCTAGAAGTAACCAATAATGTTTAAATTAACATTTATATCATTTTTTTTTTCTCACCATAATTTAAATATAAATCAATTAATAAATCTAGAGAAAAACAAAATCGTTTAGTCATATCAAGAATAATGAATATGTATATATATTTATATATAATGTTTTAATGGTTTTTCTAAATTGAGCTCATCATAATAAAGAGATGATGGGTTACATACATAGACAGTACACATATAAACAAGAGAAAGAAACATATTCATGTGTTTTTTTTTTGTCAAATCTATGAAATTAAGTTTTGTTAAATTTAATCAATATGAGTAACAGATGATCTATGAGATAAAACCTGTTGTATATGATCATTATTTTCATCTGTATCTTGTATAAGTGGTATTGAATTTGTTTTTGATGGTCGTCGATGTTCCATATCATGTTCAACAGCTTCTTCCCATGATTCATGTTTAACACCTTCAGCTAAATGAAGAAGTTTTATATGTACGGCCATAACTTTTTCATTTTTTGGTGGCATTAACATTTTTTTAAATGAAACAATATCACCTTTTTTTGGTACATAATCATCATCAATACTGAATAGATATATTAAAAAAATTAAAATAAAATAATTTGTCAGCAAAAAAACAAAAAACATAGTTACTCAGAAACATGTACAAAAATTAATTCATTTGAATGATCATGTGGTCGAATATAACCATGACCTCGTTCACGACAAAATTCTTCAATTGTACCTTCATATGATGGACTTTGTAATGCACGTTCACATCTAAATCATAAAAAGAATTAATATTTATTATTTAAATTAGGCGTATTTAATAATAGAATAATAAATTTTTATTAGAATAAGATATACTATCTAGGGTTTCTTTTGTTTTCTAGTATAGATCTTATACGTAAAGCAAGAAATTGAAACTTTTGAATATCAAGAATCTTTTCCTTTTAATAAAGTGAATAATAATTCTTGTACTGGATGTCGAATGATATAGAGATCATGGGTACATTTTTTCATGATGACAAGTCTATTTAGAAAACAAAAATTCTTACTGTGAAAGTGTTCGTTCACGTCTTGGAATAGAAGGCTGTGATAAACGATCCCCAAAACGAGGTGAATGTGATGCAGCTGATGATGATGATGATGTATGAGACATAGAAAAAAAAGAAGATTAGATCTAGAATATAAAAATATTTAAATCAAAGGTTATTTAACCAAGAGTAAAAAAACCAAATAAACAATAGAGTGAAGTTTCATTCGTAACTTAAGTATACAAAATAAAACAATCTATTAATTCTGATCACGCATATTATTAATTTTTAATTTTAAAAGAAAATGATTATATTTCAAGATATTTGATGTTGGATTAGACAAAGCTTGAGACTTGATGAAGTGAACAAAAACAAAGAATTTTGTTTTCTATGAATGTTGTTATAAAAATTTTATAATAATTAAGTATAGAATTCAAATCAAAATTTTGAAATGAAGATATCAATAAATAGTTTAATAATTGTTATTTTGTCAAATACAAAATAAAAATCAATCGAATTAAAGCTTCATTTTCATACGAGATTTCTTCATCAAAATCTAAATTAATTTTCAAATTATAGATTTATAGAATAGAACAAATTTTGCTTGATTATTATAAAAATTTTTAATTCTCGTCAGAAATTCTTTAATATTTATAATTAACTAAAAATCTTCAATAGACATTTTTTTTTTGTTTTTTTAACATCATATAATTCTTAAATATAAATTCATTCTTTTTTTTTCTTTATTTCTTAATTATCACATAGGTTTTAAATATCAAAAGTATTTTAATAAATAAATTTCAGCTTGAAAAAATTTCATTCACATCTTACTCTCTCTCAACTAAAAACCTCATTTAAGTTACAATATTTTCATATAATCTACAACAAAAAGAAAAAAAAAGATCATTTCATTAGTTATTTTTCTTTTTTTTTTGTAAACAAACCAAAAAAAAAAAAAAGAGAAACATATACAATTACATAAAAAGAACAATTTATTTTATAGCTTACCTAATTACATTTCACCATCATCTGTTGCTGATAAAGATTTTGTTCTATGTGATATATTAGCTACTGTTTCATCTTCTATAGTTTCTGTACTTTCAGATTCCATTTGATCTTGTGGTAATAAAGCTGATAGATAGGGTAATGGTGAAATAGTATATTTAATAAGATAATAATCATTAATATTAGTTCCATGTGTATTAATAACAGATAATTTTTCATTTGTTTGTAATTTAAATTTAACTAATGAACGTTGTAATGCACGACGTTGATCAGCTAATAAATGTCGAACACGTGGATAATCTTTACGTAAATCAGCATATGTTTCACTTGATATAAATGTATGTGGATCAGGAAATTCAGGTAAAAAATCAGGTATATATATAGGACGATGTTTACGTGATGTATTATTTGTTGTTGATGTAACACGAAATAATTTCATTGGATGTGTTTCAGTTTGACGATCAGGTGAACGAAGACGATGTTTTATTGGATGATTATATGTTTGTTGTAATGATGATAATTTAACATTCATCATTTGTAATGAACGTGCAAGATCTGCTGGACATGGTTCTGTACGTGATTGAATTTCCATAAAATTTTTAACATTAAGTAATAATCGACGTAGAATTGTATTTGATATATCAAGAAATTGATGATAAGCAGATAATTCAATATTATCAAAACCATATTCACGTATAATAACTGCTAATGAACGTTCGAATAGAACATCATATGGATTATCCGTATTTGTATTATCCATATTTAAGATATTGAAAAGAAAATAAAAAAAAACGTTTGTGATTACATGATGTTAGAAATAATGACGGCAATAAATAGAAAGACAGAAGTATTAAACACCAATCAGAATTAAGAACAATTTCTTTTAACTAGAAAGTAGTGACATCATTTTATCAAAAAAAGAATTACTCAACTAACATATGCTTATTTATATATTCCATATATTCAGTGATAGATTGAAGATTTTTATGATAGAAGGTGATCATGATTACAAAACATATTTTGAAGCTCATTAGAGATAATATCAACTCATTATTAAGGCTTTTCTGCTGGGAAAAAAAATGAGAAAAATCTTTTGGAAAGTGGGCAATTGTCCTTAGCGCCCTCCTCTAAATTTCGTTGTTGCATATAGTAAACATAGTTTATAAAAAAAAATTATATATAAAAAAAGTGTTCCATAAGTTCTGGATCTTAATGAAAATTAATTTATATGTGTAAACAAAGAGTGATCCCTACGTGATTATATTCTATACGAGCTTCGAAAATTTAGGATGATGTTTTAAATGACATATTATCCGATGATATTATTTCTTTTAATAATAATAGTAATTTTTATTATTATGAAGAGCTTTTATTTGAGTGAATTGATCTTATCAGTTCTGACCATTTATATTTCGTAAAAGTTTTCTAGCACATATTGTAGCGAAAAAAAGAGGAAACATAGAAAAAAATTGAAAAGATTAGGTGAGAATTACAATTTGAACGATACAGAAAAATAGATCAAGATGAGCAAGGAAAGATAATAGTGTTTTTTAATTCGGTTGATTGAGTGGATGAACTTTGTTTAACGAATTGCAATGCCATGTTAAAGAAAATTTTAATAATAGTGATATAAACAGAAGAAACATGATAATTAGGATGCAGGTACAGAAGACAGCCACAACTACACCCTAGATACTGTGTATTATTTTGTGTAACTACGTTACGTTACATACAATGAATTCATAGTTCAATAAAATTCATATAAAAAAAAAACTGTTCAATTTCGAGATTTTATAGGCCCATAACTTATGAAACATCCTTTATTCAAAGAATAGACTCTCTTACAATATTATTCAGATTTAAATTGCAAAAATATTTAGTTTTAATGAAATAATCATTATTTATTTGAATATTGTATTTTTTTTTGTTAAAAACAACGCAATTCTTTAAAGAAATATTATATTAGAAAATGCGTTATAATAATAGATAGTATTTTCTTATAAAGATGAAGAGATTATTTTAAAATGTAGAAAATCTAATTGCATATGTATTGACAAATTTATGTATACAGCTTTTTTTATGAGTTGATCAGTTAGAAATTTCTCAAATGTACTTGACTATATTGCTTTGAAAGATCTTCCGCATCATTTTTCATTTATAATGTAACGCCATTTATTGAATTCATTTAACATGTTTATTCTTGTATGTAAAAAATACAATCATGATCATTAACTTTCTTTCTTTTTTTCTTTGAGCCAAACTAAGCAAACAATATAATTGCCTTGAAGATATATGTAATACAACTAAATATAGGTGTGATCAATTATTCCGTTTTATTACTATAGTTTAGCTTATAATTTCTAATGGAAAATTCAATTAAAAGAAAAGAAAAAACAGATTTACCACCACATTATTGATATTATTTTTAGCATAAAATCTCACTAGAAAGCAACACGTACTTAAGTCATATTAGAAGTAATAAAACATGACGATATGAGTTTTTTCAACATAGAGATCTCATCCAATTTGAATTTCAATAGATATTTACGTTATAGTATATAGATTTAATTTTCTTGAATTATCGCCTATTAAAAGAATTAATATTTCGATTTTAGTGTTCCATCAGTGATTAAAAATTCTATGCGATTGAGCGTTTAGAAATTACCTACATATGACCTTATACAATAAAATGTATATTATGATTAGATTGCCATTTTCTCAAGTCAGAATAGCGGAAATAGAACGAGTAAAAAGTGGAAACAATGCGGAAAGCCGGTGTTTTTGTAGACTCTTCGCAATTTCTCTGAATTTAAATAACTTGTTGCTTCCTTTCATGGTACTTTTTTTATTCTCAAAGTTTCAAAACATAATGAATAAAGAAGATAGACCTTTTATTAAGCGTATCATTTTTTGAATGTAGTTATATTTACTGTTTGAATGATTTTCGGTTATCAATTCTTTTTGAGACAATGAGTGTTTATGCATGTTCATGTGATAAGGAAGTATTTCAATGAATTTGCATTTCTGCAGTTATTGAATTTATTGATATTCAATTGTTACATGAGACTGATTCGATCATGAACTTAGAAAATTAGGCGAAAACCAAGAGAAGCCGTTTGGTAAAATAATTATATCATGTACAGAACTGATTTTTTTTCTATGTCAGACAGGTTTTTGACTATGCATCAACTTTTCAAATGGATTAACGATTCACTTTAATTTATTTAACATCTATTCAAGAAAAAAACATAGATAGATGAAGTCATGCGAGATAAATTTCCAATGATTGTTTCTGGAGTATGACAATGACATGATCATTGTTGAAGTTTCTGCATGGAAATGCTTGATGACGCTTTTCAATAATATAATCACGTAGATTTGGATTGTCAAATACTACACCATTGACAAAATATATTTTAAGATAAAGCAAAGTGACCAATCCGTCAAGAAGAATATCAACAAGACGTGCACATATATCAAATGAATATACCTGAAGTCGAATATCGATAAGTGAAGAAAAATGTTGAATTAATTTTGATGCATATTTTAAAGAAAAATACACATTATCTGTTAATAATTCTAATCCGTCAACATTTTCTGTTAATAATTCTAGTGTTTGTAATTGATTGAAAATGGACATAAGCGATGGATTATCGAATAAAGTCAAAGACAGAAACAATTGAGTACCAATCTTAAGTTCAATGATATTTGAAGATAGCCTACAACAAAAAAACCAGGATGACTTAAATATTAAATAATGAATCTTATTATTGATTTCCATTCGAAAAAGACGAGATTCAACCGTTTTCTCTAGATACATCTAATGAGAATCATTCAAATTAAAACCAATCCTTCTTATCCTTATTAATACAATTTTGTTGAGATGTGTCTGTTTCAAAGCATACTACATTGTACAAAACTCTAAGTATGTAGACTAGCATACATAGAATCGACTCGAACTTGAAAATTATAAAGTAAAATCATTCCAAATATCGTGCAATTAATGCTTATTTGTCATCCATAAAATATGCAATCTTCACCACCATACTTAAATACTGAAAAAAGTCTTTATAACAAATTACTCGGAACCAATCTATTGGACTTTATCTATAGTGAAAAATTCTCAACTATTAAAATATATTCTCTTTAAAATCAATTCATCTCAAAATGAAATATATTATAGTGTTTGACAAAAAAATAAAATTTAACTTACAATAAGATCTGTTCAATATAATAAAGTTGAGATATATCATTCTTTGGTTCAAAATCTATTCTCTTTATTGTAGATAAATCTACATAACTCTTAAGTACATTCACATATTGTTTAGAGCCAATTTCATCATTTTCCTGATGATACATAGAAACTAAATAAAAGTAAACAAATAACATGATTCAATTGTGCAATCTCAAGGAATTAATGAAAGAAATATATTCTTCTTACTGAGTTTCAATAAATTTTCCCATAATGTTAATGTTGACTGTTGAAATACGATCACAAGATGTTGAACATTTTGAAATGGTACAGAAGATGGTAGATTACCAGTTATTGCTATATTTATAGGTACAATAACTTTTAATTTTGTGTTATGCTGATGAAAATTGTGATATTGATCATCTGTTATTAATGTCGATTGTACATGCAATGTTCCAAGTATCATGCTTGGTTCTAGAGAATTGTATTCTCGTCTATTAGTTGAATATGTTAGAGTTCGCAAACTGATACATTCTTCTACAAAAAAAAAATCATATAAATTAATAACCAGTTTTACTCAATAATATCTTTTATTATTTTACTTAATTTTTCAGTCCAAAGTCTTGAACATTCAACAGACATATGCCAACCATCATAATGTTCAACAAAATATTGAAATGAATGAACAATATCATCCATGTTTATTACAGCTCGCATACTGAATAAGCTAATAAGAAAATCAAATTTTTTTAAATTTGATGCGTGACTCATCAGTAACTGTTGCCATTTATAACCATCGAGCAAATCACGAATATAACGAGAGATTCGTTTAGATGATGTAATAGTGAAAATAAATTGACGAAGATTAGGCATACAACGAAGAATAACACTAAGTGAGTCAATATTGCACATTGTTATTGTTTGTAAATCAAAAAATTTCAAGTATGGAAGTACTGGTAAATTATCTTGGAAAGCTGCTGGTAACATTGGCGCACTAAATAAAAATAATGATCCGATGACTTTTTTAACCTGTTTTCAATGATTAGAAACATAAAATATTAGCAAGAACATTTAATTCTATTTTTTTTCTTCTCTCAATTTGCAGATAGTCTTGGACAAAAAGGAAAGTTGATTTCTTTTTATAGAAAATATTGCAGAGCTTTCATGGAAATGTGAATGATTGAAATATATTTCTACAGATAAAACATTACATTCATGATGTTAATGAGAACGAGTAGAGTCATGCATTATTATTTGCATACAGTTGTTAAATGATCAACGTAGAAAAAAAAACAATTCATTAATTTATAGTCTTGTAGAAAATAGTCAATATCAGATATATGTATAATTATGCATAAAGATATCGTATTTTATTTTCCTTTTATTTTAATGACTGACTATATTGGCAGGAATTTTCAATTTAGAAAAAAAGTCAATGAAAATGAAGAACAACGAGCGAATTGTCAGTAAACTTGTCAACGCAAAGAGAGGTGTCCATAAAAGAAAGGAGTTCAGATTCGTTTTAGAATATAGGACTAAACACAACAGATCTTTACTCTGTTGAGGGATATAAGTGTTGTTAATGCAACAACCCATATATATGCAGATTTTGATATTGGAAGGAAAATAGATTTGTGAGACGACTGTATCAGTTTTCAAAATCGGCCTCGTTGGATACATGGGTTTGTACATGAAAATGAGATCTATATATCATAGTTCAAGTCATGTTTGTGATCATCTTTCTTACGGTAATTACAACACTCCCACCAATAGTCTAATACGAAATCATATCATTTCATAAAAAACGTACTATGCATGGTAAATATTTGGATTTGTAGGAATTGATATAAATACACGTAAACGTCTTAATGCACGATAAATATGAAATACATGTAGAACACAATAAATTGATAATCGACGAGGTAAATCATAAAATGTTAAAGACATTGATGTTAATGTCCAGTTAAGAGTAACGGCAGTTGTTAAATGAGAATGATTGAAGTAAAATACAAAATCGAGCGAGCGAAGTGAAAATGATTGATGTGTTAAAATAGTTTGACTTATATATTGTTTCTCTTTTTCATAAAGTTGCATATGATTTGTTACGATAAATCGAAGCGATCTAAGTTTAATAAGATTTTTTAATTGTTCCAATGCAGTTCGCGATTGTATTGACCAATGTGATGAGTAAAGTAAACAGTGTTCAAGATTTTCAAATGCATGTTGAATGAAAAAGAAAGAAATAATAGATGTAAAATCACGAATTGAATCTTCAAGAGAAATTGAAACTACTTGATGTGCATGATTGATAAGATAGAAAGAAAGAAATTTTATTTGACGATGACAATGAGATGAGGAAACGACAATATGAAGTGGAATTGAAGAAAGTATCAATGTAATACGTTGATTGAGTGTTGAAAATGCCGTAAAAATATCAAGTGCATGTAAATAATCAAATATTTCGAAGAATATTTCGTTAGATAAGTCTTCTAATCGAGTCATTTTTTTCATTTCAATATTTGAAATGAAAACGTATAATTATTACCTCCTTATATATAGTGTCCGCGTATAATAGACAATGTTTAATAGTCGAAAACTACCAATAAGTTAATCAAAAGAATCTGTGAGAACAATGATTCGTCTGCGTACATGACGGACGATCTAATACAATGCCAAAAAAGAAAAATGCGATCAACTCATTAGCAGCTTGTCCAGCTAACGGCGACCCAGCCTGGCTAAAGTTGAAGTTTAGATTTTTCAAATTTAAAGATGATTAGTTTGTTGAGCACACTTAACTGTATAAGGATATGAGTCGTGTTTTTTCATTCACTCTATTTGGTGAAAGAACAGAGCTTCAAAACATTGATTATAAATTAACTTTATTATTGTGCGTTTTAATGGTACAAAGAACAAGGGCTTTAGCAGACATTCTAAAGCGTTATATGAGAGAGCTTTGGTATAGAAAGAATCACTAATAGATGGGCTTTATTCTAGACTATCTGATAAAATATTCTTCTCTTTCTTAGTTTCAAAAGATCACCTCATTAAACTTCACCAAAAGAGGCATGAGTGCGTTACCATTTAGAGGATTTTTTTATATTTCTTGCCCTTATATAGGAGAAATTTTTAGATAGAACTATCTATTATTACGTAACTTTTGATGGACTATAATATGCACTGTTAAGAATTTTTTAAAATCACATCCTTCAGGAAAATGAATGGTAACGCACTCATGTGACCTTTGTACGTCTAACCCTTAATTAGACTGTATCGATTATATTTTTCCTTCAGATTATTTATAAAATTGAAACTAAATGTTTAGATTTGTTTTATTTACTCATCACTACATGCACCTCTTCATTCTTATATTGTTTTCTCTGTGAATGGTTTAGTCAAATTCTTTTTTTTTGTGTTTTTCCACATAATGTATTTGTTCTGACTGTTACGATATACGATCGCTATTTTTCTTTTTCTTTCTTGACGAGATATTTTTATCTCTCCTCTCTCTTACTCATGAGTTATTTTTTCTAACTTTCGACCATATCCACGTCCGACGTCTTGTTCATCTCCCTATATACACCTCGCTTTTGGTGTAAATCAACGGTATAAGTGTTTGTGTCTAGTCAATATACTTATCTTTGTCTATACACTAGCTAAACCTAGTTAATTAAATTCACAACATCTTAAGAAAATTGTCGTGATTTTCTTAATTACAAATCTATTAGCTTGAATCAATAATTTCTCTATAAAGCGTGGGCCAGAAGTGCTGACTCGATTTGTATAATAAATTTTTCTTTAGTAAAACGCGTGGTTGAAAATTGGTCTCTATGTAGAAAAGATGCAGCAAAAGACACTCTATAAAACGACTATTGATTAGCCCCACTAGCTCATCTAATAAGAAAGTTATAGGCTTAGAAATATACTTCACAAAAAAGAAAAATTAACCGTGAACTCGGTTTCGGTATTTATACTTTAACTTCTGTTCCTTAGGTCCTCTACAACAAATTCTTTTATCAATAGAAGGTCCGTGAAATTCTCTACAAAATTATACCTAAACCTTAATTTCAGAACTTCAATCAAGGAAACTAAGCAAATTATACGCACGCGAAAAAAACGAAAACTTTTTAAATTTGGTATTTTTTTCGACTTAAACTTTTTACTCTCCTATTAATTCCATAAAAAAGCATAGCAAACGTGAGAACTCTGTTTGTGTTTGGTACTTTCAAATGTGCTCTTTCTCCCGGGCTTTAGAAGATACTTTTTTAGCGCCGATGGAGTGCGTGAAAACCAAGTTCCAAAAATACGTCAAAAATCGACAAGCCCGTTTCCGACGGTGTACCCAGCAAGAAATGAAAACTGTGATCAAAGTTTTGATCTTGTAGGTAGGTTAAGAGAGTAATCACTTCTGATCAAAACAAAACAAACCCGATCGAAAAACCTTTCGTTTTGATGAAGTTATGGGACTTTTACTGGAATCATAACTATGTACATCGGGCTCACGGTTAATTTTTCTTTTTTGTGAAGTATATTTCTAAGCCTATAACTTCCTTAGTAGATGAGCTAGCGAGGTCAATCAATAGTCATTTTGTAGAGCGCCTTTTACTGCATCTTTTCTTCATAGAGACAAATTTCCGACCATCCTTTTACTAAAGAAAAATTGATTATACAAATCGAGTCAGCACTTCTGGCCCACTCGTTATATTATTATGACAAAAAAGCGTTTTTTTGTATCATATTATTATAAGAAAAAGTGTGTACTTTTTTATAAGAAATAAATGAATTTCATTATAACATTCATTCTGAGTTGTTTATAAATCGTTTAAACAAAGCTTTGGTGCATAAACATTGAATCTAAAAAATTCTTAAAAAATCCTACTGAGTGCGTTACCAATTGCTGAGTGCGTTACCGAAATCCTTTAGTAATAACTCTTTATAGAAATAAGCTTTCAAAAAGCAGATGCCATGATTATCAAGCCCATCGTCTTACCTACAAATTCATGTGACAATATTTTTTTTAACACACAAAAATTCGTAGCAATATAATATTCTTTCGCATGGGGGTAATGACAAGGGGCCTTTTAAATGAGTGCGTTACCACGGTTTCCTGAACCTCTAAAACCATGATAGTAAAATCAAATGAAGTCAAACTTGTAGCAGAGATAGATCTTCCAACTATCTCTTAGCACTATAAGTTTCAGGTCTTTACTACATATGACTCTTGAGTTATGGAGATTGGAAGGTCAAAAATAGGTGAGTGCGTTACCTGTGGACAGGCTGTTAGGCTTTCTGTCATTTAATAGCTACATTATTTGATGAAACCAAAGAAAGAAGAGTGTCCATGTATATCGAATATATTATTAGAGATGACATCGAGTTCTATTTACTGAGTATTGTGAAAATTCACAGTCATAATACCTTTCTAATAAATATTCGCATTTAAGAAATATCATAGTATTCTATTATTCAATTTCATCCATGTCATAGAAATTTGGCGATTTTCGTCAACTAATCAATGTTTTATCCAAGAGCAAATAAAAATGATCGATTAATCTTGATGCGATAAAGCTGCTTTCCTTTTTGTAAATACAAAAAGCATGTTAAAGTTTCCTTTCTATCCATAAGAGTTATTTGAAATCAATTATGACATACAGTTAATGTAGTTATGAGATCGATAACTCAGAGAATTATACTATCTCATCTAGATGGCATCATTCGAAATAGTTCAAGTGAAAATGAAGTGTAGCTTTTGATTTTCGATTAATTTTAGATAGAGAGATACATAGAATTGAGAAAAAAACGATTTAAACTTTTCTGTATTATTTTCAGATTACTTTGAGACGAAAGCAAAAAAAAATATATGTGTATATTTGAAAAGAATTAGCAATCTGCAAGTAGAATTTAGCTTAGAAAAGATCTAAATAACGAAATATGAAGAACGAATTTATTCACATTTTATCAGGTTGCTTTTCAGATTTCCTTTCACAACATTTAGTTCAGACACATTTTAATTGCTATTTTTTAAAACTAAAATTTGAATGTTAAATTATTTCTTGAATTGATTATTAATTAACATGAGTAATCATGAATGTTTGTTTTGAAACTGTCGCTGTTTATTATCACAGAGCTCTATGTTACAAATTGAAATTATTCTTTAACTAACAAAATTCGTACTCATTTGATGACTCTCAGTTTTTGAGTTTTATTCATTCCTTAGAAAAAATGAAATAGTAAAGACTAAAATTGGTCATTACGGTCTTTGTTTACGAGCACCTGATGATCATCGGATCACTGAACTTGCTGGATCGATTTGTGTCCCACAGCGAGACAAGTACGCCGCAGTAAGGGATTCATGGAGTTATCTCATCTGCTTGTGAAGTAATTGTTGCTGAGCAGATCTTATAATCCATTGAAAATACATAACACATAAATAGATAATAAGATCAAAATGAATTAAATATATTTTTTAAGAATTCAGTAGGAAGACGAGGATAAATGGTCATTGAATAAATAATTGAGTGTATAACTTCCATACGACATTGATAAAATTAAGATGTTCTATGACTATAACATTCTTAATTACCATTTATTTTCATATTTCTGCCAAATTCATACGAATCATACTCGATTTATTTTTGAATTTAGTATATTGTACATATTATATACATATGAGTATGAAACTTTTTATTCAAGAACATAAAAGAGCTCTTAAATAGTTTTCCAAATTAACATATTCAGGTTAGGTACAATACGAAAGCCTTTGTTTAGAAGTGAGAACAAGAAATAAGAACTGTCGATTGAATTTATTTCATTTCGTCTCAATATTTTGGTCTTCATATTATCTAAACATATTTTTCTTGTTGCATATACAATTTTTCAGAAACCTAGCAAAACTTCGAATGATTGGGCTATTTCTTCGGAGAGGATTTATTTCTCTCTTATCAACAGCTTTGATGAAATGTAAGCTAAGTGAACCAATGGATATTTAGACTTTTCATCGAAATTAGATTTCTAATTATTGTATCTAGTTTGTTAAAAATGAGCACAAAATGTTTATAAATATAGTCTATCAGACACGTTCAATTGACTTCGCTTCGTCTGAGCTTCTGTCATTCAACCACTTTAGAATATAGATTAAAAATCTACCTAGATGCAATAAATTTAACTAAGCAATAACCGAGCAATTAGTTTGACACACGTCGATAAATACAAAAAAATTATTCAAAAGTAAATCGAACTTACTATCGAACATTGTTATGATGTCTTCTAATCGTTGCTGTAGACAAATAAATATAATGTACTTCTTATTAACGTGATGTTATTAGTTCTCAAAACTTTTTGATTGCCCTATGTACATTTCTTTCTTCTTTAAAGATTTTCGCTGTATCTACTTTACCGTCTCATTTATACTACTAGCTTTAAATTTTTTTTTGCTCAATTTTTCCCAAAGGGAAGTTGTCATTTAAAAACTATGTGCATCAATTCTTCATCTACACCTTAAAAAATTTCA